TATCAAGAAGACTATACAAATTATCTGTAAAAAAATGGAAAATTATAAAATAAGACTACAACTATGACAACAAGAATAACAAGAACAACAAAAATAAAAAATTTTGGAGATTTTTGTCTCCTAAAATTTCCTGATGTAGTAAAATAAATTTACAAATTTGTAAAATATTTTAAAAAATTCCATAAAAATTTTTTGAAAATATTCGCAATAAAAAAATTCCGAAAAATTTGTATTCAAATTTTCTGGAAATTTTTTACTTCAAAAATATTCAAAAACTTATGAAAGATTTCTGGAAATTTACTATTCTAAAAAATTTCCAGAAATTTTTGTCTCCTAAAATTTCCTGATGTATATGATTCTATTAAAAAACAAGTGCATGGACAAAAGTTTAATCCTAAATGGACAGGACTGTTTTGAATAGAAAAGAAATTAGGTAATAAGGTTTACTTGATAAGGGATAAAATTGGTAATACATTATCTAATCCTGTTTATGCAGAGAGATTAAAACATTATAAACAAAGGCATCTTGTAGAACCTTGTGTAATAATCATTCCAAATTAGTCAAAGTTTAATTAAATATCTGAACACAAATTTTATTATATAAAGGATATTATTTTTCTCAAGTTTTAAAAATTTTTACAAATCATGGAACTTCAACTTTCAGAAACTCAACGTGCTAGATTATTAGAACTTTACCAAAGTTTACAATTAGATTACACTTCTGTTAATATACAAATAACCTCTACACGAATTATTGTATAAAGTAATTCTCAACAAACCTTTCTAACAATTCCTACTTATTATCGATGAACACGACCTCAAAATTTCAATAGATATATTGATAATGCATATAATGCTGAAGTTGACCTTGACCTCAAATTATATGATAAAGGAGATATTTTATCTCTCATAAGTGTTGCTATTGATACTGTAAAAACAAATGAACAACGACTCTTTGCATACTTGAAATCCTGGTCATTATTATCAAAGGATCTTGTTGAGCGACAATTAACTATAAAACAACTGAGACAAGAAGTTCAACAAATAACTGATTAAAATGGTGCTCGATTCTTAACTGTTGTAAATAGAGTGCAGAAATTATTATCTGTGATTGGAAAATTTCCAATTCCTCAATTTAGATATATTACCTCTAATTGGTTATATCATTTAACTAGTGTAGACTTTGATTATTTTATTCGAAAATGTAGAAAACAACTTTCTCAAAATATAGAACATTTCGCAGGAGCTCAATACTAAGAAGGAAATGTTATAGAATATTATTTTTATTATATTATTATTTAATGTATTTATTATTTATTTGTAATTTATATTAATCAAAGATCATGTAACAAGTGGCTCACCAGGTTGATTACTAGGTGAATCACCTAGGTAAATTACCTGTTGCACATAACAAGTAAATCACCAGATTGATTACCTCTTGCTAAAATTGGTAAATCATTAATTTGGTAGATCGTTGCATGCAGCAAATCAAAGGAATATAAATATGAGTCTTCCCTGACCTGAGAAGAGGAGTTGAAGAAGTTTTTGAGTTCTCAATAGTTTAAGAAACTAGAACAGAGTTGTATCTCCTAATTAATATATTATTTAATCCTTTAATATTTACCTTTACTTTTATAATTTTTATTTTTATATTATATCTTATCTTTATATTTATCATTACATTTATTAATAAAGTTATATCATATTAAATATCCTCAACAAATCTTTAATTTGTTAATTTATTACGTAAATCTTAATAAAACCTAAGTTAATCTTGTATAAATACTCTTTAGCATATACATCTTATTAAGCGAACAAGCTGATTTGATGTGTTAAAACCCCGCACAATAAAGAACTCACCTTGTAATATTCCTTCGAATTCACTATTAAATAATTGAATTAAGTTGATCTTAGTGATCCTCGAGAAATTCTGAGAATTATTTAAGTAGTTTAAGTTAATTTAATTAAAGAATATTAGTTATCCTTCAAACCCTTATTCACATATTAGTACGATAATATGAATATATTTACATAAATTTGTAAATTTATCCGAATTTTTTCTAAACCAAAAAATATTCGGATATATTTGCTTCCAAAAATTTCCTAATGCGGTGAATATATCTGGATATATTTGAGAATCAAAAAAATCTGAATATATGTAAATATATCCACATAAATTCACGAATTTATTTGAATTTTTTCTAAATCAAAAAATATCTGGATATATTTGTTCCAAATATTTGAAATCGAAAAAATTCAAATAAATTCGTAAATTTATGTGAATATATTCGCATATATTTAGATTTTTTCAATTTTCAAATATATTCAGATATATTTGCCCTCAAAAATTTCCTGATGCTACTATTATTTACGATTAACAGATGTAGATTATTTTTATTGTAATGCGAGGCCAACACCCCTGGTTGATATCTTTGGTTAACACCTCTGGTCATCACCTCTGGTAAACACATTTGGCACAAATAACTCATTAGTTAAAATAACTTATAGAATCTTCCAGAATGTTATGGAAATTTCCAGAGCTTTCTTGAGATTTGTAATTATAGTCTCACGAAAGGATGACAATTTTGTATAAATAGAGGTGGCTTTTGCCCCTAGAATTAAAACAGCTAGAACTTGAATATATTTTAAACTTGATATATGTAATAAATTGTTAATAAAAATCTTTGTGACAAGTAATAATTTAAAACCTTTGAATCTTTAGTGAAATACTTTTTGATAATAATATCCTGCTTTGTGATCTTGGTATTATTTTGTTTATAATTAATCTTGCTTCGTAATCTTAATTAATTATATTAATTCTGTGTGAATTTTTGTAGTTTCTGTGTGAAACTAATAATATTCTTTGTAAATATCTGTTGACTTAGTATAAAAATCCCATACCCTTTTAAAATTCTCACACCTTAGTTTCTTTCGAATAAACCCGCAACATCAAATCTTTTACTCCTTATACTTCTTCAAGTATAAAACCTTCCAACTGTAATATATTCATCCAATTGCTTTGTGATCTTTTGGACAATAGTTTTCCTGTTATTAGTTAATAGTTAATCATGTTTAGTAAAGGTAATCATGGTTAATACTAGTTTTATATGAATTGTTCCAAATGTAGAATAAGAAAGAAAAACATTAATTGTTATCATTCCTTGTATTTAAATTTACAAAATTATAAGAAAAATCAATATAAAAAATTTGAAAAAATTAAAAAAAAATATAATAAATAATAAAACAATTTACAATATCTCTTGCTCACAATATTAATCTTGCTGGTGTTAATTAAAGATATCTATTATCTTCAATATAACAAGATATAGTATTGTGGCAACACAAATTGATAATAAGGTGAAATGTCATGGGAGATGATAATTTGTAGTACTAGATGAACATTTAGATAATTGTCATCCCAAGTAAGATGACTGTATGAAGATGAAAGATGAAGTATAAAAATAAAGGATGAAGGATAAAGGATGATATACAAAAGATGAAGGATGACATATAAAAGATGAAGGATAAAATACAAAGATGAAGGATAAAGTGTAAATAAAAGAGAAAGTATAAATATGACTGTTGTCAGATGTAAGTTTAAAAAAGAAAAGAGATTATACTAGTTAGTTAATTAATTAATATTAAATATTATAAAATAATTCAAAATATTTTAATTATTATTAGATAGAAAAGTAAACTTACTTTAGAAATAATAAAATAGATATCCTAACACATGATGATAATATTTTTGTTACTGAATTATACTTTACTTTTAAAAACTTTATATTTTATATTTTAATGACTTAAATCTTGTGTTATAATATTGCGAAATATTATTAAATATTATTTAATACTGTATTAATTGTTTTTACTTCATCTTACTTATTGTGCCTTCATGATTGATTAATTATTATTTGATTATTATTATTATTTATTATATATTTATTATATGTTTTGAGATAGGTCAGTTAAATCAATTGTATTAGTTGTGACCTACTAGTAGATAGAGCATATTATTATATTTGTATGATACAAGTTTTACTTCATTTAGTTGAGATTCTTTAGGTACACAAGATTTTTTAACCTTTTTTTTGATTTTTTTTTTTTTAAAACTTCTTCATTTGAACTACTTGCTTCATTATTATCATTCTATTTATAATAAGATAAAATAAATATTAAATAAATTAGATTATAATTTATAAGTAGTAAAATTATTGATAAATATTAAAGAAAAAAATTATATTCTAAAATAAATTCACTTACTAATGTATTTCTCTTATAATTATATTCAAAATTATTTGATTTTATATATTATAATCTAGATAAACCCTTATACTTTTTAAAAAATATCACAAAATTATTTTCATCATCTAAAGTCATTACTTGTTCATAGTCATTTATTTTATATGTAATAGTATAATTATTTTTGCTAATTGAATTTTCATTATTTTTGTTCATATATTTTAGTAAATCTTTATAAAATAATATAAAACTCTGTACATTAAGTTTTATTTATTTTCTTAATAAACTTTCATTGTTTTTCTTTATAATAACTTGAATATTGACCTGTGTAAGATTTTCTTTGTCTTGAGTATTTACTTAAGAAGTTTTTTTTATCTTTCTAGTTTTAGATCGCATATATTATAAATTGTATGTAGAACAAAAACTAATATCAAAATCAATAATGAAATCTTATTTATACTCAAATTTTTCATTTACCTTTTTAAGAAATGTGAGTTGTACTAGAAGTATTATATTTGAAACATGACAATTATATACTTGGCAGCCCTTTTTAGAATGGTTAACATTTGTATCTGAATATAAAGGTTTTTTTATCTATATTACAATTGTATATTTCTTGTAATAAATCTATAAAATAGTATAAACATTTTTGACAATTGAAATATGTGCTAATTTTATATAAAAAAACATGAAAATATATTCTAAAATATAAAATATATACACACGTTGTTACTAGTCGACCTTTTGAACTAATTTTATTTTCCAAAAGACAATTTACAATTAGTAACTCGTAAACAGTTGCTTTAGTTTAAGAATTGAAGAGAATAATAGAAGAATAATAAAAAAAATATACTAATAAAATAAATACAAATAAGAATAAAATAAGATAAAATAATAAGAAATTATAAAAGTGAAGGAAACCCATGGTAACAGTTTTTCCCTTGCTAAATTACGAAGTCCCTTTCGTAACTTTCTCTAAACTCCATCAACTCCTTAAATTGTTGATTATTTAATC